TTTTACTCAGTTCTTAAGATTAATTTCTGTTGTAAGAGTCTTAATAAAGTTCACTTAAAGTTTAACTCAATAAAACTAGCTTCTGAAGACGTTAATTTAGCCACAAACCTATTTCAGTCAACTTCTGATTAAATTAAAATCCATCCAGGCAAGTTATAATTACTTTCTGTCATCCATATTTCTCAAAAACAGAAGCATATATGTTTCCCACAATCTTGGTGTATTCCTCTATGGGGTGTGAATGTGTGTGCGTGCATGTATGCAAAATTAGAAGTTCTGTACAGTTCTATTTGATTAGCAATACCTACGTGAAAAAAAAATCTCTCAATATAGTCTCTATGTAAAAATCTATTATTTCTTGTCATTAAAATGCAGGGCCAGCCTGATAGCTCAGCTAACTAAAGTGTCTGCTTAGGCACAGCACAGTGGCCGGGGTTTGATCCCCAACCTGTTGTGCCAGCCCCGCCCCAGGGCGCACTGAGATGGCGATTGAGACTGAGCATGGTGGCATATGCCTATAATCCCACCTCTTGGGAGGCTGAAAACAGGGGAATCACTATGAGTCCGATCTACTTAGTGAGACCCCATAGACCCTGTCCTAAATACAGAAAAGAAAAAAAAATGCAGTACAACAATTGATTGTATTTTGTTGTTATCTGTCTTACACTTAGGTGAATAAAAAAAAGTTGTATGAACATAAAATATGCCTTTAAAAAGAACATACACAATGTCTATTTGCCATCATGAAAATATTTTTTCCTTTTTTAAAGAAACCTAAAATTGTGTTGTTCATTTTTATAAGAATACTGATTCTCTTCAATTCTCTGAAATACAGTGACTATAACTTTATTAAGATATCATTTTTTTGCCTTTGATACTTATTAGAATGCTCCTTTTAAAAGCTGGTGAGACAACTACCTTGTTAAAAATACAAAATTTTGCCTGGCAAGTGCAAAAGCCTGAGTTCAATCCCCAGTACAAAAAAAAAAAAAAAAAAATCCCTGCTTCAGAGTTGTTAATGCTACAACTTCAATGGAAGGATGCAATCACTCAGATGATTCTTATAAAAGCCTGAAAAACCAGTTTTCTACCATCATTATCCTCTAACTTAAACCACAGAGGATTATGTGGATTTAAGAACAGTTCAAAATTTTTACACTATATAAATTACATTTTACAATGTAAGGTAAGGCATTATCACAAAAACGTATTTTTACAGCCATCTAAACCTTGCATTGCATACAATGTTAGCAAGGGAGATCAAGTAGTAAGACTATGGAGCTACACGCTGTAGTCAAGAATTTCTAAGCCAAACAGAATTACATTAATTAACCACAGAATTTTACAGACCATAACCGAGTGGCACAGAAGTCAATACAAAGGTTAATAAGGTATCTGGAAATAAAGAATTTGTTACTTTTTAAACACTTCAAAAAAGATACCAGTTTTTATGTTTCACAGCACAGGCACATTAATTTAGTATTAAAAAAAAATCTCAATACCTCATTTCACAGACAAACTCCTACAAGTTGAAACAAAAGATTTTCTATTATTAACATACCCATGTATTACTTTGCAGCCAAAAAAAAAAAAAAAAGCCTAAAACATCAATGTTAATAGCATAAAAAAAAGGAACAAATCAATATTGCCGCCCAAAGGTGCGTAAGTTAATCAAGAGAAGACATCAAACCAACCCAAACTGAGGGGCTTTCTACAAAACAATTGTTCTGTATTGTTCAAAGGGCCAAAAGTCAGGAAAGATGAAGAACAAAGTAAGGAACTTCTCTAGAGGAAAAGGGATGACAAGAAAATGTTAAGCCCTGAAGCCGGACTGGCCCTTGATCCAGGACAGCCAGGTGTGTGCAGCATCCACGCTAAATCTGGAGTGAGTCTTCGAAGGTTCTATTACCATTTGCCCTGTATCACTAGGGCAATAGGTACACACTGGTGCTGACTTCCTGATTTTGATCACTGAACTGTGGCAATATTAGAGCAGATCTTTGTTTTCAGGAAGCACACGCTGATTTTGAAATGCTTCTCAAAATATTACAAAAAGAGAGAACACTACAGCAAATGGGGAAAACTTAACAAAGGAGGAACTTAAGCAAAGTCTTTGTAGCACTCCCTAGTAACGTTTCTGTAAGTTTAAAATTATTTCAGAGTAAAAGTGAAAAGAAGTTTCAAAGTTATATTCAGAAAACTAAAAATCTAAACTCTGCACTCTTAAACTTTGTATCTAGAACCACTAATGTCTAAATATGTTGTAACTGTAGACTAAAATTATTAACAAATTTAATTTTTCTGAAATTCATAGGTGTCAACAGCATCATGTTTGTAATTGTAAAACTGGGATTTTTATTTTCCTATGCATTGGGTATGATACAAATCTATGTATATCCTTGGCCTATCACATGAACTTGAAAGACGTTCACAATGTTGCTTTTCAGTTATTTTTCCCTTCATGGTCCCTTAATGTTTGGTTTTCGCAACTGTATCATCTGTGACTGATGTCCTATATCAGAATGTTGTCTTGCTAATGACACCCTGATGTAAGCAACAAGAATTCTGCCAGGTGCTACTAACATGCTGTATTTTGATAAAGCCCAGACAGTTGCTTTACAGTATGCTTACAGTGGTACAGTCAGTAACCACTCTGACCTGGTTATTATGCCAGAGTCACTGAGTAAGGTGGAGAGACATAAGACAGAAGGAAGATGTTAATTCCCTCCAAAGGTACTTGTGACATGGTAGCACAAAACACACACAAAACTTCTGTGTAGGGGCAGATTACTAGAAGGTTCTATTACCATTTGCCCTGTATCACTAGAAACCATGAGTAGCAGCATAATACTTAATGCTTTAAATATGCAAACATCAAAAATAACACTTCTGAAAACTTACAGATGTCAAGTAACAAAGGATTTTGATGGAAATGACTTCATGTTTAATTTGGCATGCCTTTTTGCTAAGCTGTAACTATGAGGAATGTTGCAGTATTAATATCAAATTTATACATTGTAACCTGCCTATTCACCTGTGATCATCAGGCACATTCATGGGGTTGTGGCTGCAGACCGAATGCCTATTTGAAGACTGAATTAGGGAGCCAGGGAGATGGCCTAGTAAAAGAATCACTTGCCTGGCAAGCGCAAGGGCCTGAGTTCAATCCCTGGTTCTGAAAAAATCAATCAATCAATAAATAAAGACTGAATTAGGGAGAAATTAAAGAGAAATGCACTCATAGGAAACAACACAAAGGAATTCAAATAGTTTTTGTTTTTAAAATCAAATTACTTTAGCACTTTATTTTCTACACAAATGACAGTTTAGAATTGGCTGACTTTATAGAAGTTAACCATAATAAATCTTAATGTCTTGAGTATATTAATGTAGGTCACCAAATAGTTTGATGTGTTTCATTTTTATTCAACACAATTCTCACTTCAAGGTCTTCTATACTTCAGAGGAAAAAAAGTATTACAGCTGCTTGGAGGGATCACAAGTTGAATGAAATCAAATTTCAGGAATAGCATTTCAAATATTTTTCACAAGACAGTTATTTAACAATGTGAATTTCATATACATTACCATAAGGGGGAAACTCCCTGAAAAATATTTCCTTATAAAAGTTCAAGATGAAAACTGCTGAAGTCATGTAATAGAATGAACAATTACATTTTGAGACTCAATAACCTAATATTTATTGCTTATCAAAATATTCAGCTGCAGAGAAAATATTACAATGTAACGTAACAAAAGAAATAGCACCTTTCATGAAGTTACTTAAAATAAGTGCAAAACTATTCTGAACTCTGAAGGTCTAGATGAAAGGAAACCATGAAGACAGTAACAAACTATCAAGTGATTTTGAAAAGTGTAGTGTTACAAGTTGATTGTAAATGTAAACAATACAGAAAAAGCAGAACTATAGCTAGGTATCTCCAACAGGCAAAAAGTTCTTTTGTTTTTCTTGTTACATACTTATTCTCTCTCTAAACTTGGTCAGTAAATGAGCATACTTTAATGTAGGAGGGAGACTTTTCAAAGGACCTATTTAAGAATTAAAATTCAGGAAATCCTTTTATTTAATATGAGGACAGGAGCTTTCTTATATGACTTTTTACTATTCAATGGAATTCCTAATAAAATGAGTGTTTTACACCAGATCTGGAAACTTTTAGTTATGTAATACCACAAGGGATTATCATAACATGAATTTTATAAGATAATTCCACAGTCTAGAGCAGACTTTCTGAAGCATAGATTTAAATACAGTATTAAGATCGGACATCATATTTTTTAAACAGGAAAATGTATATATTTACATTTTGTCTAATTTCTCAAATATTAGAAAGTAGTGGAAAATATTGTCTTCAATTTGTTAATTTAAATAAAAATATTTTTCCTAATAATTTCAATTGCCTAGAAATATTTTCAGAGAATATTTTTCTGGAGTTGTAGGTATAGGTCAATAGTAGAACACTTGCCTAGCATGCATGAAGTCCTTTGATTTATCTACAGGAAAAAAAAAAAGACACTGTGACATCTTACATATTTTTGGTTTATCCTAATACTGTATATGAAAAGTCTTACTACACCAAATTATTCACTTTTAAATATCATTATTTATCATAAATTCTGGCTTACAATTTCAAAAACAGATTGTGAGTTTCAGCCCATCAGGAAGTTACTATAATTTTCTATTCTCATTTGTAAGTATCACATAAATGTCACTGGTAGGTGTCACAATATTGCTATTACATTAATTTCTAAACATTGATGTTAAAAACCCTGAGCATATGTTGCAAAAAAATTAACTGAAACTAACAAAAAATTTTCCCCACATATTACATCCCATTATTTTCTAAATGATCAAGACCTACCCAAGCGCTGATAGTGCTTGCACAGTTCTTATAAAAAATATACTTGACACAATATGAAGACAAATATTGGTAAACACCAGGGGTTTTGAATTATATTTGAAGAAGCAATACAATATGTGATCTTTCATAGAGTTTTTATTCTTGTTATTAAAACTCGGACTCAAGTAATCCTGGTTATACTGGAAAAAGCACCTTGTTTGTAGGGATCTTTAATCATCCTTTTCGATAATCACCTCTCCATGAAGCACCTTTCTTCGTTGACGTAACATATGAAAATAGAGCTGTGGAAACACTTGATTGAAAAAAAGAAAATAAAACAGATAAGCTATTGTTTTCAATTATTTATGCCTGAAAACTGATAAATGTGGCAATGCCTGAAAGTATGTACACTGTATGCCACTGCTACTTCCTAATATTTACAGAAGTAAGAAGTGTGTTAATGGAAGTCCGCATACCGCATCCCTAACCACTATAATGCCTGAAGTTTTATTTTTTTATAATACTGAAGTTTTATTTTTTTTAGAAAACTTAGTATTTTGATACATATACCTCCATAATGTCATGGAAGCCCATGTTTAACTTTTGAATTTAGCAATGCTCTGAACTACTGTGCCAGAGCCACAGAAAGCAGTCCCAAACTGCCCCCTTCACTGTCCTTGTATGGACAGCCTAAGTTCACCCACAGTCATCCATACCCTTCACAAGCAGCCACCCCGGGACCTCTGGGCTGCATGCACCAGTAACGTGCTTGGCCCCCGGAGTAGCAGAGGGATTAGACCTGTGCACACTCGGAACATGGTCTCAGCACTAGCGGGGGAGCCAAGGCCACAGTCCCAGGTGCTATAGAACTGGGAGCTATCTGGGGACTCCGGAAGAGCTAGAACAGAGTCTTCCAAATTGGCCCAGAGTAGATGCTCCTGAAAGCTGAGCTAAGGGAGGTCTGCTACACACAAACACATAAATATACATGATGATAATTGGACTAATCGTCGTGTACCCAAATTTGGAGACTATTCTGAGCAAATCTGAACCAATGATTTCAATCACAGTATAAACACTGGTCTATAAACAAATTGACACCAGCTAAAATGTAAAAATAGTAAACAGAGACCAACTGATGAACCTACTCACAGAACAAGCTCTGAATATCTCACTAAGGCTACTTTGTATAAAAATTTATTTTCAGAACTTAAATAGCAAAAATGCACAGCATGTCTTAGTTTTTAAATTTAGGTACCTCCCATCATGATCAATGTAACCATCATATTCTATCTCTAACCTAAATATACTCATGTATCTTAAAGCTAGCCGACCAGTTATTGTAAATAATAATAATAACAATAATCCTGAGTAGTTCAGGAGAAGAGATAGGCTTGAGTTCAAATCTTGGTATTACCAGCTGATTGTTTAAGCAATTCATTCAACCTCTCTCATCCAGAACATTCTCACTGGTGAATGACAGATACCTTTTTTTAAAATAAAAAATTACCCAAAAAAGCTCTCTTTTTTCTGTATTTTAGGGAAGGAACTACAGGGTGTTCAGGGTCTAACTACTAGATCGGACTCATAGTGATTCACCTGTTTACAGCCTCCCAAGTGCTGGGATTACAAGCACGTGCCACCACACCCAGTCTCAATTGCCCTCTCAGCACGCTCTGGGGGAGTGGGGCCAGCTCAGCAGGCCCGGGGATCGAACCCCTGGCCCCTGTGCCTGCTTGCAGGCACTTTAATCCACTGAGCTATTTGGCCAGCCCTTCAAAAAAGCTCTTTTAATATTGATAATTAACAAATAATTTAATAAGCAAAGTAAACTTGGTTGCTGCTTCTGCTAATGTTGATAATGGAGTGAAAACACATCCCCCTTGCTGACTGGCCCTCAGAGAAGTGGGACTCTCAGTAACTGCATGGAAAGCTGGGAAGCTGCTGCGGGCACAGAACAGTCTACACCTCCCAGGACACCTAAAAAACAGACAAAAGTTACTGATGTAAGCTACACGCAGTGATGCACATCTCTCACTGCTTTGGAGGCTGAGGCAGGATGAGACACTGCCAATTCAAAGCCACACTGAGCAAGTCAGGGAGACTCTGTCTCAAAATAAAATTTTAAAAGGGCAGGAAGTGCAACTCAGTGGTAGAACATTTGCCTAGCATGTGGGAGGCCTTGGGTTTAATCCTGAGTACCACAAAAAACAAAGTTACTGATGTGACACTTCAAACAATTGTTTTGGGGCCCAGGTTTCTATGGAGATACCTCAGAAGTCATGAGGAAGATGAGAACTCAAGTCCACACCTGTAACTATACAACAGATAGCTCTGCAAGTCCTGGCTCCAGTCAGGGCCTGTTACTACTAACCAGAGCCTGGGAAAAACAGGGTTGTGACACGCAGTACATGCACAACTGCCTCAGCAATCCTGAACCAGCTGAGGTGGAGAACAGTAGAAGGCGGATATGGTAGCAGACAGAGTAGGGAAACACTCTTTGACCACTACTTCCTTTTTTTTTAATTTAAATTAAATTATTTATTTATTTATTACATTTATTTATTTTGTGTGTGTGTGGCCAGCTCAGCCCACCAGGGGGCGAGGCTGGCTGGCATGTGGTGCTGAGGGATCGAACCACGGTCCTTGTGCTTTGCCAAGCTTGTTCCAAGTAGCTGCTTTAGACCACTGAGCCATCTCTCCAGCCCCCACTATTTCCCTTTTGATTTTGGAAATGCTTCAACATTGCAGGCCTCAAGGGGCTGGTTAAGTGTTAGGCACACCTCCCTTTAGAAGAAATGCTCTAGATGGTGTCAATGGCAATGTTAGCCTCTGTAAACTTTTCTTTTTCATCCCACTGACACCAAAGTCTCTAATTTTACAGAGAAGGGAATACAGCGGTATGTAATAACCTTACTTTTTTGTATATCTTGCTAATGACTAGAAATTTGATGTATAAATGTCATTATCAGTACTAGATAAAGTGAATAAAGTTTCACCAATCCATTGCAACTACTGGATGAGATGATGAAAAATTAGGGAACAGTCTGAATTATTAGACATAGCTTAAGAAAAGCAGCTTTATTATCTTCAAGTACATAGAGCAACACAAGTAAGAGTACAGTGCTCCTCGATGACTTTCCCAAGTGTACTTAATGGATTGAAATGACGTGAAACTTTCCTGAATAGAATACATATACTCAGACTCATAATTCTAAGTGCCTATAAACAGCACACTGAGGCACCCACATTTTTCAAATGATTTTTCTTTCCCTTTAAAAAATTAATCATACTAAGCACAATTTAAATGCCCTTTGAAAAGGAATCACTGGTGTGTTCATATTTAGCTTTGTACTCATAGCCAGTAAAATGTCTGACTTACCCCTCCTCCAATTATTCCAAACCATGAACAAATGTGGGGTTGAACAGAAGTCTTAAAAGTGTTTGTAAGCTATTATTTCACATTATTTCCCCTTGTTTATTAAACTAGCTTATTATACCTTTCTGAAAGTGTCCATATATTAAATCAAAATATTAATACATATATATATATATATATATATATATATATACTTATACTTACATGGTATATATGAAGCCATGGTTATAAGAAGAAAATAGTAGTAGTCAAAAGACACATTGTATTTGTTAGGGAGTCTTATTGAAAACATTCCTGTTTTCTTCACATATGGCAAGGCAGCGTATATGGTAAGCAGTTCACCAGCAACTCCAACAGGATATAAGATGATAAAAAAATTATATCTAGAAAAGGAAAAACCTCAGAGAATTATTTTTCTAGAATAACTATTGTATTTTACAGCATGGTTCTTTACTGTTATTGTATTTAAACTTACAAATTCTCCTGTCTGTCCACATTTACCATAACTTCACACAAAGTAGGTTAATTTTTCTGCTTCAATCATTAGCTTAGTAACTACAGTTTCATCCTTCTAAATAAGATTTCCCCTATAAATAGCAGCATCTTTTTAAAAAATGTATTTGTTTATTTGGTACATGGTCTTGCTACCCTGCTCAGATTCATAGCGATCCTCCTGTCTCAGGCTCCCCACTGCTGGGATTACAGGCAAGCGCCACCACATCCAGTTTTGGGGCCAGCACAGCATGCAGCATGGGGGAAAAAACTTGGTTCCTTGCACTTGCCAGGCATGTGCTTACACTGTCAAGCTAGCTCCCCAGCCCTGGCAATCTCTTCTTAAGTACTCAACTTACTTCACAGTAATTAAATACAAGTTATTAAAAAGTATATGCAGGTTTTGTCTGTTTTAGGATGGGATCTTCTCTATTGCCCAGGTTGGTCTCAAACTCCTGGGCTCCAGAGTACTGGGACTATGGATTTACTTGAGTACTGTGTAAGAAACTTCTTTGGCACATGGAATCAAAGCTATTTTTGTTGTTGTTGTAATTAATCATTTATCAATCAAATGCTGCACTTGAAGACACCAGTTTACAATGTCAATTTTAGGGGGCTGGGGAGATAGCTCCATAGAACAAGTGCTTGCCTGGCAAGCACAAGGGCCTGAGTTCAATCCTCGGTTCTGAAAAAAAAAAAAAAGTCAGTTTTATACCTGAACCTCGAAATTACCAAAGTACAGTAGTTATTTTTAAAGGCATTTGGAAAACTTCATGGCTACTATCTGAATGTAATTACCACTGCAGAAAACTGATTATGTAACACATCAGCAACTCATAACAAGTGTACTGTCCAAAGTTCCTTTCACGACAAAATCAGTACGATAAGGTTTAGATCTAAAATGTCCCCCCAACAATTCACATATTTTAGAGATGGGGAGCTTTTGTAAACTGGCTGGATTATGGGGGTGCTGTGTTATCAATGGATTAATTCATTGATGAGTCCACAGCCAAATACACTTTAGGAGGTGGGGCCTGGTTGGAGGAGGGGCCAGCAGGGGTGTGACCTGCAAGAGCATATTCTTGTCCCTGCCCTCCCTACCTCTCTGCTTCCGGGCTGCCATAAAGTGGGTAAGTATGCTCCATCATGCCCCCCACCATGCCATTCTAAACAGAAGCCAGATAACCATGGACTGGATCCCCTAAAACCATGAACCAAACTAAACCTGGCTTCCTTAAAGTCACAGATGTTGAATATTTTGTCCTAGCAATATAGGTGTGACCAATACAGGTTATTTCACAGGAATACAGAATTGGCTTGCTTAAAATAAGAGGTGAGAAAACTCTATCCAAAATGCCAAATGACAATTTGTTCATTTGGATTATGACAAAGTCTTTATCCCAGAGGTTAGCCTGTTAGTGCGTAGGTTCTACTGACTTCAACAGGAAGAGCCTAAAAATCCAAGACAAGGATATTTCCCTATGAAGGAAAATCATTTTTCTCTAAGCCACCATAGTCTGTAGTGCCCTAGATGTACAAAGACAAGAGATAGGAGAGAGGAACAAAATTATGTACCAAAATATGTTAGTGAGTACCTACAGATGAGCCCGTTACTGCATCTGCCATCCTCTCCTTGTCCTGATTATACATTTGCTTTCCTTCTTGCAGTTATCATTTAAATCAATCTTTCTGTATCACAATTTTTAAAATCACATTATTGAACATTTTATATTCCTTTCTCAAAATACTCAAAATGATTTTTTTTTTATTTACTTTATGTAGCTCTCAAACTATGTCAGTAGCATTGTTCTTTTCTGTTCCTTTTTTTTTGGTACCAGGAATTGAACTTAGGACTTCATGCTTGCCAGACAGCTACATTCCTGGCCTACCACTGTTCTTTAATAGAAAAAAGTTATCACTCTAAGAATATTGCTACTAGAAAAAAGCATTAAAGAGAATAAACTTTGCTAATGAAATGATAAGTAATTTTATAACTTTCCTGATTTAAAAAGATTACATATCATTAAGTTCTGAGGGAAATATGGAAGATATAACTACCTATAAACCACATTCAGAAAAAGATTTAATGTTAATGTTTCCTCAAGGATTTCCAATTTTTACCTAAGATTTTTTTAAAGGACATTCATTTTTGAAAGTAAAATAAGGGACCTGGGAGATAACTCAATAGCCTGAGTGCCTGCCTGGCAAGCACAAGGTCCTGAGTTTGATCCCTGGTACCAAAAAAAAAAAAAAAAAAAAAAAAAAAAAAAAAAAAAATGTGCTTGAGAAAGTAAAATGAAAATGAATGTAAAAATATAACCCTCAGGCGGTTAGATCCCCAGTGTGCTGTGCCAGCCCCACCCCCAGGGCACACTGAGCCAGTGACTGAGACTGGGCATGGTGGCACACACCTGTAGTCCCAGTGCTTGGGAGATTGAAAACAGGAGAATCACTATGAGTCCCAACTATGTAGTGAGACCCTGCACACCCTGTAAACCCTGTCCTAAATTCAAAAACAAAAAAAGAAAACATAACCCAATACATTATTATTCTGCGGACTTTTCCAAAAAGACTTTCAGCACATAAATTCAAAGTATTTTCAAATCAGGACAGTAAGTCAAACTATATAAATAAGAAGCCAGTTGTAATGTGAAGTTTTGAGAACAACAGCTTTCACATTTGAACTTAAATATGAATATTATTTTAGCCTACTTAATGAGGTTGGCAAATATATTTTGACAGTTGGAATTTTTAAGTTTCCCCCACGTGAAATATAATTATTTATGATTATCATTAACATTAAGCTAACGCATGCATTTCAAACTTGACTTTACATAACACCTTATTTACATGAAGGAAACAGAGAGGTGCTTTCTAAAGAGCAAATTTAAACATATAATGGCAGTTCCGTTCTTTTCTACAAATGAAAAACATGCAAATACATTTCAAAAGGGAGAGACAAAGCATGAAAGACTAATTGCCTGACCCAAGGAAATGCACAAGGTGCATCTGTCATATTCACACAAATACTATGAACACTGCCTATGAAGAGTCTGTGTCATGAGCTAGTGTTTTCAAAGGTTCCCGAAATCCCTAAGACTATCATGCAAAATGGCATGGACAGGCATGCTAAGACTAAGCCCAGCGACATTCAAAATTGCCAACTCTTCAAACAGCCCAATGATCACTAACAGTGAATACGTTTTCATGTACAAGAATAAAACCAACCAAATAGACATAAGTAATACAAACTTCTTATGACAAACAATATTATTTATACTAAAATTATCCTTTTAAAACATGTGATAGGCCAAATGTTAAGCCATAAATTTCTAAGAAAGACCTGGAGGGTATTTGTAAAAGTCTGAGAGACTGCATAATACAACAGTGATGATTCTGATGCAGAGGGATTATAAGTAATTTTAAAATTTTTATTTTTTATTTATTTGTTCTAATTTGTTATATTTGAACATTATAATGCATGAGTTAACTAATCACTGGAGAAAAGTGTCATGCATGAGGATCTGAAACAAGTCCGAAACAAAGAATTAAGAATGTATTACCAAAAATATCAGAGTTTTTAAACATTAATAAATATATATTTTCAATGCTACATAGCTATGGCACTGTTTATGTCTCCAAGTGTTACTCATAATATTAAAAGTCTGGAAAGAATATAAATACCAGCAATAGAAAACTGGTTCAAAGATACTATGGAACACTGCATAGCAAAGAGGTAGATCAAAATGTAACCACCCTGGAAAAAAGCCCAAAAATTCCAATAATGTTATGCACAAAAAGCGCGTATAATATCAGCCTATTTATGTTTTTAAAAATCTACATGTGTTTTTACACTTGCGCTATGAAACTGCTAGGTGAGTAAACAGTTTCTTCCTCCAGGGGCAGGCTGTAGGTTACACAGGAGGATAAATAGCTTTCTGTGTTCATTTTATACACATCCACATTATTGGAACCTTTACAAAGAAACTATATTACTTCTGTAGCATACGTATATATGGTTTGTTTTGTTTTGTTTGTACAGGGTCTCACTACGAAGCTCGGATTCATAGTGATCCTCCTGTTTTCTGCCTCCCTAGTGGTGGAATTACAGGCGTGCGCCACTACGCTGGACTCCATCTCTGGCTCAGCGCGCTCGGGAGCGGGGCCAGTGCGGCATGCGGTGCCAGGGATCGAACCCTTGTAGCTTATATTCTTAAATAGTTTTAAGAATAAAAATATTGTTTACCTCTTGTATCTTGCTTATATGGAACTCACACCTTGCACTAAGACCCATTAGGGTTTTTAATTTTTTTGCCTCAGAGTCATGCTAAGAGGATATAAACACATGACACATTCACATCTGCATCTCAGTGTGCCCCAGTTTGTCACTGCTCCTGCTACTCTAAGTACAACAAGAACAGAATGAATAAATCTGTGCTGGTTTTGATTTGTTCTCCAAAAAGTGGTTTTGGTGTGCACTGGAGGTAAAGTGACAGACATAGCTGCCTTCCGAAACGTAATTCCATGTTTACAATAACTTGGTAAAATACATGTTTCTCAAATAATTCAACCTTCAAAAAGAATAGGGCAACTTTCACTTCAAAAATCACAGTGTTAGGATATAAATTTGGTCCACATCCCAAATAAAAAATTTTAAGGATAAACTTCTTTTTAAAAAAAAGTCTGTTAGAGCTATTTATAGCAAAACAAAGAGAACAAAAAATTAAAATAATATTGCTGATCTAAGGAAGTAAAAATTGTCAGTGCATATTAAAATAATTTAGATCAATCAAATAAAATAACCGTTTTGGGTAGTTTTTAATATAATTCCAAAAATATATAAGGAAAATAAATAACCAATCCTTAGGTTACTTAAGAATATGTTTGCCTGGTATTGACATTACACAAAATGTATTTCACTATGGTTCATTTCTCATCATCCAATCAAGCTCTTGGAATACAAGCTGCGACACTGCTAATGTCCATAAGCCGAGCATTCTGGCATCATGCGCTGCAACACACGTTTTAGTTCTCTGGTGTTAGCTCAGCACACAAAACCAGCATGCACAGGACAGTGAGAAACTAAGCTGCAAGACATCGCCACCTGGCCCATTTAATGAAGTATGGCAAGTGGTCGAGAAGGCTGAATGTGTAGAAGGAATAGCGAGTGATCTCAGTCACAGTCCACGAGACCAGAAAAAGCACCACACTCTCCTCATTCTGGACCTGCAGGATTACAGAGAAATCCAACGCTGTTCAACCTTGAATTTAGGATTCAGAGAACTAGGTGTTGTAACCATTTCAAACCTCTGTCTTCTCTTATAATGGAGTGTCTAGGTTAGACACATATGATACGGAATACTTAATGCAGTCATCATTAAATAATTAGTTACGAACATCACACTTACGTGCTGTGCACTGAAATGGGCAACTATTCACTAGCGTCTCCCTCACCCTTCACTCCAGCCAGGAACCCCACTACCCTAGGACAATGTCTCCCTCTTAAAAGGCAGAACAGGGAGAATCTGTGCTAATGGGAAACTTGTGGTAGAAAAAGAAAGAGAAATATGAAGGAACAGAACCTCTGCTGGAAAAGAGCAGAAGGATCCTTTCTTTTCTGGGAACGAGCCACTACCTGGCTTCTCTTCAAATTTGTCTCTCTAGTTAATGTTGGACACCCCATCATTACCTTTCTTCTCTTTGATTCCTTTTTGTTTGTTTTCTGAACTGAGAATCTAACTCAGGACAGGACCTCGCACTTGCCAGGGAGGTGCCATGCTGTTGAACTGTATTCTTGGCCCTTCTTCCCCTCTTTTATTTTTCAGATTCCTCATAGTCCAGGCCCAGCTATTATATTCCTTCACTCCCTGGCACTGCCTCTCTTTTATGCTGTTAACGCACTCCTGCTCTGAGGCTCTGAGCACAGTAAGCTGTCTTCAGCAAGCAAGAGTCTGGCTGTTGGAGAGGCACAGGACGGCTGCTGTCCATACCACAGTCTCTGGCTATGGACCAGGCAGATGGAGTAAGCTGCATAAGAAACACTAGTCAAGAGGGCTAAGGTGTAGAGTAGTAAAAGCGCAGAAGGTCAGAGATCTGCCCCCTTGCAGACCAGAGACCAGGGAGGAAATGCAGCAGGAGTCAGATGTCAGTCCCCAGGCACCCAGGAGACAAGAAAGGAATCTGCAGAATGCAAAGGAGGCCAGAGATCTGTCCTCAAGGAGATGGCAGACTATGAAGGCTGTCAAGAAGGTCGGGAGGGCAGAGCTGGGGAATGTTTCCGACAAGGGCTTAAGTGGCCCAATATGTACCTCGACAAAATCAACTTTATCTAAAAGGCTTAAGCCATGAGTCAGATTCAGTCATTCATCTCTCTCCTGCTGTGTTCCCAGAAATAATGTTTGTTTCCCAAGTTTCTCAATCCTAACTTTTTAAAAATTATTTTTAATTGACATATTAAAAATATGTATGTTTATGGTGCACAGTGTGCTGTGTTAGAAGACAAAGGCACCAGGAATGGCTAAATCGAGCCACCTGAGATACCACACACATCATCTCCTGCGCTTCCCATTTATTTGTGCTGAGCACTTAAAATCTACTCTTTTTAGCAGGTTTTTGTTTTTGTTTGTGCTACCAGGGATCAAACTCAGGACCTTGCACTCCCCAGGTAGGTGTTTATGCTGCTGAGCTGTATCCCTGGCCCTTCTTAGCAATTTTTTAAGTATCCTACGCAAATATCTTATTAACTCCAGTCACCATGTTGTATGATAGATCTTTTGCACTCTTTCCTCTTGAGATTTTTGTATACTTTAGCGAAAAGACTCATTTTTAATTTAGTCTTTTCCATTTGTTCAGACACACAGAATCACACTGACTGTTATGTCCTTGCCGCAATATTCAACGCTACATGAGGAAAAATAAATTGCTTATAGTGACTTTGGTAGAAAACAAACTTCAATAGAAAACATTTCAGCAGGTCATTTGACAGAGGTTACAGTTTTAAAAAACAGAAAAATGTCAGAGAGGAGCACATTATGGATATGAAATGCCAACTTTTAAGTTTGCTGTGTTTCAGTCATTCTACAACAGGGCTAAGTCAACATACAGTGAGAGTCTGAGGCCAGCCAACTCCTCGTGGCCCAACTGTTCTGCTTCCTGAAACGTAGCAACGTCAGCATTTTCGTCCTACTGAAGAAAAGCCATCTTACAAGTACAAGTAGAAAACACAGCTGCAGCCCTTACCGGTTTTATGCTGTGAGTAACCAACCACACCATAAAGATTCTTGAACTCACTTGGACCCCAGTCACAAGCACAGAAGTTGGTACAATTCCTTGAAGAGAAAATTAAGTTAGCTACTGCTCTAACAACAAGTTGTAAAAAAAGGTAAAATTCAAAGAAAAACTCACCAATTAAACAGTGAACTATCTGTAAGAAAAAAAAATCACAAGTCAGTAATAATAAAGCATAAAGTAAATCCTTGTCAACACTAGTAATAAGCAAATCCATATGTGGCATGTAATGTGCAAAACAAAATTGACATTGTTCAACAAAAACACCATCAGATAAGCATTACAGAAAAATAGCATGATGAAAAAACTTACCTCAAGTAAAGCAAACGTTTGGAAAAATTTAAGTGTCTTCTGAATACTTTTATATAAACCTCTATGTGTTCCTTTTTCCATGTAAAAACGTACCATGGCGACAGCTAGAACCAACCACCTAAAGAAAAGAAAAGTATTTGATAAAGTTCTATCAAAATGAATACCAATAACGTGCTCAAAGCTGTATTACTCACAATAGCTAAAAGGGGGAAACAAACCAAGTGTCTATCAATGACTAAATGGATAAACAAAATATGTTCTAAATGTATGGGCAATATTACTCAGTCTTCAAAAGCTTATAAATTCCAATACTTGCTAGGGCAAAGGTGAACCTTGAGGACATTATGCTCATTAAAATCAGCCAGCAAAAGGACAGTGATGCATGCCAATGTGAATGTATTAATGAGAACAATGTGAATTAATGTATTAATGCCACTGAACTGAACATTTTAAAAGGCTTAAGGTGATCAATGCTATCCATGTACATCTATTACTATTTTAAAAATACCAATGAACTTCCTGAAAAGAAATGCCACAATTTATGTAGTTTTGCTACATACATATTTATATAGTTATGTTATTTATATAGCTATACTATGGATCACTATGGTCTTGACTCATCATTCTTTTTTTTTTTTTTTTTCATTTATGTATTTGGTAAAGGGTCTCACTTCACAGCTCGGACTCGAAGTGATCCTCCTGTTTTTAGCGCCCCAGTGCTGGGATTACAGGTGTGCGCTACCACACAATGGACTCGGTCCCTGGCTCAGCGCAGTCCAGGGGCAGGGTCAGCGCAGCATGCAGGACGCAGGATCGAACCCTGGTCACGGCGCTTGTGAAAGCCGGTGCTTAATCATTCTATCAAAAAAAAAAAAAAAAAAAAAAACCCTCACATCTGTATATACAGAATAGTTAGGATAGATATACAACTACTTTCACTAAATTCAATGAGAGGAAAGATTTATAGTAATAGTGTTTGGACAGGATATCCTATCTGCATCTTGTACTATGAATAACCACTAAGAAGATAACAATGTACAATGCATTAATTATTGAAACTGTCCTATTAATCACCTTTGAAACTGTCTCATTGCAATTTGTTTCTCAATAAAATTAAATTAAATTAAATTAAATTAAAAAAGAAAACAAAAACTCACAGGAGAAAAAAGTGACAGTACTTTTATGTTGATGCTGGAAGAGGAAGAATACAATATATAAGGGACCAACTGCAGAAAAACCAATGGCCAGTGTATTTTCAGCTTCAGCAAATAAACTGAAAGACCAAAGAAATTAATACCAAAATAAGACTGTCATACAGCATTTTAATAATATATAAATGCATCTTCAGATTAAAAAGCTTTCAAAAGCAGTATTGTGTATATAGATATGTATTTTACACAAATACAAATATTTTTCAACCAAAACACTAGCATATTTTATCATATTATAATGTACAAGTAGAAATTATCACTATATCATATTATGATATAGAAGGAGAAATCTTCAATAAGAATCATCATTTACTATTTATATAATTTTCACTAAATAAAAACTTGTTGTACCATAGAAGGAAAGCATAATGATGACATAAGCCTGCATTTAAGGAGTTTATTTTTCAAAAAACATAAAATACATATAACTTCACTTTTCAACTGAGATTCATATATGGTATTAAATATACCTTCTGTTCTTATAGATTAAGAATACTTAAGGGGCTGGGGAGATGGCTCAGTGGAATAAGTGCTTCTCTGGTGAGCACAAGGGCCTGAGTTCAATCTCCAGTTC